CCAGCGCTGCCGTACAACCTCCACTGGTGGTTTTGGGTTCAGACCACCAGCGCGCACTTAGACCCAGCTCCCCAGGGCAACCTGGGCTCAGATCATGGCCCTGACGGCCATCGGGGCTGGGGACCCCATGGGCTGCCAAAGCTGCTATCGTGGCTCCTACCTGCCCCCTCCGATCATCAGCAGGTCCACATCCCCTTTCATGAAGAAGTTGTTCCTGCCCGTCCACCTGAACACCTGCGCGGGGACAGCCGTCGGCTGGGGCACAGCCTCCCCATCCCTGACCCTGTCCTGCGAGGGACATCTGGGGGCTGCTGGGCAAAGTTGGCACTGCCCATTCCCACTGTGTCCTCCTTCTCCAGAGGAAGACCTGTCCGAGCCTGTGGGCACTGGTCTGGTGCTGGCACATCCCTGCCAGCAGCCCTAGGGCCACCCCCAGGGATGGCTGCCACCTGCTGATGCCACCAGCAGCATCGTTCACTGATGCTACCAGCCCCATCACACACATGGACCCCCGCTGGCACAGGCAGACGTGGCTGAGCTGCCTCCACATCCCACCGATGCTGGGCTGTGACTGTCCTGGCATGCGGAGTGTCCCTGGTGACACTCAGCCAGGCAGCGTCCCCTTCCCTGGGCCTCCCTCTCGGCAGGGCTGGCTGGGATTTGCCTTCACCCCCCAACCCTGGCTGAACGCAGGGACCACAGCTGGCAGGGTGCCTCAGTTGCTTCACCCATGTCCTGCCAAGTGCAGTCGTGTCACCCCAGACCCCTCCCCAGCACCTTGGGGACCCCCTGGGGTAGCCAGGTTCCAGGGGCACCACCAGCCCCCCCGACCCCCTGGTGCCCCGTGGCTGGCAGCCTGCAGCCCCCACCTTCAGCACTGGGGAGAAGGAGAAGAGGAAGGTCTCCCCGGTCCCATAGAAGCTGTTGCTGCAGCGAATGGTGCTGGCAGAGAAGGCGCCAAAGGCCTGAGGAGAACAGAGAGAGGGAGTCCCACCCTGAGGTGCTCAGTGGGGCTCCCCAATGCCCGAACG